TTCATCAAGGCCACATCCTCCTGCTCCTGTGACATTTTTCTTAGTTATCTCATTTAATCCTTTAAACAACTCTTATGCCATTTGGAGTTGAGGAAACAGTCTCAGAGGGGTAAAATGACTTGCCCAAGGTGGGAGTAACAGAGCCAACATATAAACCCAGGGCTTTGTAGATTCTAAGTCTGAAGTTCTCCAATCTTCCATCAAGCTCTGGGAGGAACTAGGCTAGTCTTGGAAGATTTGGGAGTATAACAGGGCATTGCTGAGCCCTTTCCCCTCCCTAGAAGTTCACACACTAGTAAGGATCAGGATCAGAGATGCACCAAGAGCTCACACTGCAGTGAGTCTTGAATAAGAGCTAAGCCACCCTCTCCTCCACCCCCAAACCTGACATTTCTTTTAATATTTATGATGGCTATCAATTACTGAGCAATCACTCTGTGGCAGCAGTTGCACAGTCCTGGGGAACATCATCCACATGGCACAGAACGTGAACAGCACCCCCCGGAGCATCTTGTAGTCTCGTGAATGGAGCCCCCTGGAGTTTTGCCATGTGACAACTTTCAGGCCAAGCACGTTGGAATCTCAGGGCAGTAGATACTAATGCCCCCAAATTACAGACGAGAAAACTGAGGCTTAGGGAGGTAAAATAACTTCTGTGATGTCACACAGTGAGGAGGTTCCTCACCACTCAGAAGGGGCACAATGCTAGAGGCAAAGGCCATTGCCTGGTCCCTGGGCCTCTGGCTCCAAGGTGGCAAAGAGAGGAAGGAGGGTGATGGGCAGGGGCTCACCACTTTGATGGGCCTCAGAGAGCTGAGCGAGTCCGTCCGCCGGCTGCTGGTCCATGAGTCCCAGCGAGGGTACTCTCCTTTCTCAAACACAAACTGCTCACCCTTGCAGTTGGCTTGTTCATAGCCTACCCAGCTGCAGTGGAGACAGAGGAGGGGGGCAGGTCAATCCCACTCCACGCTTCCTGCGAAGGACCCTGGCTTCTCACTCTGGCCCCAGGGTTCACTCTTGCCCAGCCCAGGACCTTCTAAATCCAAACACAGCAAATCGCCTCAGTTATCCAGAACTCAGTGCTAGGCTGCCTTCAACCATCTGGAACTCAAGAAATAAGAAGAAAGTCCAAAAGACTGCCCAGTAACAAATACCAGTATATAGACCCCTGTGCACTATAGCTATTAGTGTTCTGGTCAATGAATAGCCAGTGCTGACGAAACAAAAGAAACAAAAAACCAAGAACACTGATTTGTGGCGTTTGCTGCCTTCTGTGGTGTAAATGCTCCTGTCATCGCAGATGTCAAGCTGTCAAGGCGATGTCACTGAGTGTGGAGCTGGGAAGAAAGGTGAACAG